CATTTTGTTTAAATTTTACATTTTATAACTTTAGATTCTTTTTGCTAAAGGCAATTTACCTAAAACATTAATAACTGTTTGATCTAAAAATAGCTCAGTATATCTTAAGATCTGATATTTTGGTCCTTCAGAAATATTAACTTAACAATATTAATGTCATAGCAATTGTAACCACTACTCTGCTTTAGTTAGTTAAAACAATAAAAATGTATGTGTATGTACATAATGATAGTATAGACGTTTTATCATTAGTATGTATAATATGATGTATCAAAATAAATTATACGTCTTCTGTGAGCATACACTTCTAATGACAGAGCAGGATAGATAAGCACTTGAAAGAAGTTGAAGTGATCTAATTAGTATGTAATCATCTACCTAATTTTTGGCTTGAAAGTTACGAAACATCTGCAAGATTTTAAAAAAGCTCTACCATAAATGAAATGCAATGTATGGCTAATAGTTAACGGATCGCGGATACGATCCCCACCGAGTCCAATCATTTTCTCTGAAATAATTTTTCTGAAACATGTTGGAATTCGTCTGGAATTCCGTTTATTAAATGGGTGGTAAGAATATTGATGTTCCGGCCGGGTAATGAACCACCGACCACGGACGGAAAAGCCGTTAAGTTTAATCGCGTTTCGGTTTCCGAATATCCAAGCCAAGATAAGTCGATAGCGCATCTAGTTTAGATGTTATATTGCTGGGCTATTTCACCTACCAAGAGGACCCCATGCTTGTCTGTTCTCCTCTATCATAAACAAGATCACATATTCTAAACTACATCTGACGAGATTCTAGCGAGGTTGGTCGAAACCCATAGTTGCGGTCTCTTAGTCCGCTCCACATTACGCAATGTACTAGTTCCCGTTTGGTAATTTGTTATACAGTTTATCTAGACAGGAGCCTATTCGGGAGTAATTCAGTCCCGTTTAATCCCGATAGTTCATATCTAATCGAGATAGGGATCGAGTATTCGTAATATGTCGATAATACTCGTTTATGTACGTGTGATAAATATTACAACTATTATGTTAACTGTCGTACTTATTGGTTTATTTCTCTGTTCTGTAATAAAAAAGGTATAAAAATGTATAGAATCAGTGTGGTTTTAATTATAGTACCTGAAACTCAAACAAGCAAGTATTTGAAAAACAAAAATTTACCAGTGTCAAAAGCCATTAGGCAACTGTCAAAACATTTTTTTTTTCTTTCGTGGGGGAAGGTTTACCTACCCAAAAAAAAATTTTCTTTTTTAAAAATGTTTTCCTTTGGGGGGTTTTTTTTGGGGAAAATAATTTTTTAAATTGGGGGGTTGGCCCCCCAGCAAAGGGGGGGGGGGACGGGCGGGGGGGGGGGGGGGGGGGGGGGGGCCCCCCCCCCCCCCCCCCCCTTTTTTTTTGCCCAGCACAGTCATCTGATAAACAAAAGACAGAGGTAAGTGATGATAATGAACAATTTCTTTGCAGAAAAGAAGCAGAGCGTATGTTGTTTGTTGTTATGACCTACAGGTACATAAATGCCCACAGGATACGACATACTTATCAATATACAAAAGATAAAAATAATTCCCAGTCTGGTCTAAACAAGGAAAACCTGTCCCATTTAAACAAGTTGCAAGCAAAAACTAATCTCCCGTCTTAGAAGACAAACAGAGATAATCCGATCACTAGATGGCGCGTCTATTAAACGCACAACGCCGGCTACCCGTTGTCAGTTGGTGTGTGGGATAAGTCTTAAGGTATGAGCGAATGCAAAGTATGAGTAATTTGCTACAGAAGTCTTCAATTATTAATTTTTTATTCTATTTGAAATACTGAACAGCTTGCGATGATAAACAATTTAATAATAAGAAGTAGATAGTAAAGCTTAAGGAAGTTTTCACTTATAGAAAAAACTAGATCTAGTAGCCTTCATTCTCGTTTAGATTTGTGTATATATTTGTAATGTTTTTCTAGAAATACAATAATTATTGAGAGTTATGTTGCAGCCCTAAGATACAAATTCATAGTAATGTTGCTTTGTAAATTGTGATTTTTGTTTCAGCTTCCTGATGTGTAAAAAATACATTTTTAATTCTGAACGTTCATTTCTCTATATACTTCGTTTCATACAGTAGCGCACTTCTATACGCAAATATAATTAAAAAAATATAATACATGACAATCAAAAATCACTTAAAGTTCTACAAGCATAATGTAGGCATTAACTTATATAAAATATTTCTAACCCACTAATTCTTACAAATTGGACCACACGGGTGAAAACCAATTGTTGCCGAGCTTACGTATAAGCTTTTTATTAAACGTGAGCAAAAATCGCCGCACATAAAGCTAACAATCTACTTTAGTTGAATGCTCAATACCTAGTTATTGCGTTTCTACAAAGCCTTTGTGGCTGGTATATTTTTATGCGTTTGTTTATTTACCTCATATGGTAATCGAGTACCTTCTTAGCACGTAACGCAATTTTTATCTCTTGTGATTGAGTTGCCAAAACTAGAAGCCGACATCGCATCTTACTGCGACATGAAACATTTCCGTTTGAGTAGCGCGTTAAGGGCGTACACTACTTACCAACAAATTACCTAAATCGATGCATATTACTTTTGAACCCCCATTATTGTGTTTGTATTAAACTTTCTAAAGTAGAAGTATTAAGATGTTTTTAGTTCCTGTCTCTATCCCAAAATTAAATTCTATACCAATCTCAAATATACGTCTATCCCAATATATATTCTATTCGTCTAATAAAGTTAGTGTTTTAATGTTATATAGTAAAAATTATACTAAAACAGTACGTCTATCTGACCATTGCCATGTTTCTGTTGAGCTTAAAGTGAAAGCATATGGCGAACATATTTCTGTGTCCGTTTCAGTTATCAGTTTCTTTTAAAGGTTGTTGTTCAGTTTGTTATTCAAAGGAATGTACTCCGCCAAACCTATTTTTTCACTGAGTATCGAATCTATACCTCGCGCTTAACGCTTGTCAAGCAACACGTTTATCTATTACAGCTACAGAGGAGGTTTTAGAACTTAGTGGTAAAAAGAAGATATACATATAAAATTTGTTTAGTCTTAAAGGTCATTTTATCGTAAATCAGTGATTATTTATTGTGATAATGATTGAAGGTAATCCTGAGAACGTAATAAAGACACTATACAGTGTGTCGTATTTGACGCTCCATAAATTATTATTACCTCTAAGATGTGTTACAGTGATGATAAATAAAATTTAATCACTAATTCAAACTAATAGGCTTATTATACGCCTGAGTTATACTAATTCAGAATTCATTTAAATAACGTCATAAATATTTTAAATTGATTTTTCGTATCCCACTCGTTTAAAACAATGTTCTTAATAATAAAAATTCTATTTAAACACTTATGTTTATCTGAAAAGTCGAATTTATATAATCGCAATTAATAATTAATATTACGTAAGAAAAATATTGAAAATTAAGGACAGCTTTTGATTATTTCATTATAAAAAAGCGTCAGTGTCAATTTTAAATTCTGTTAAAGAATATTATAATACAGTTGGGCGTAATCAGTTTCTGTAGACATGGTGTAAGGCTTTGCCGGAAAAAGTTAGTTTCGGATAAAAAAATATCTTCGTCTCAGGGCCACCTCCTGCTTCGGGGATACGTCCATGATAATTTTAACTTTGATCGAGTTATTTTCATGCGTTTTTAGAACACGCTGTATATATAGGATGTACGCATGAACTACAAATTACTAAATAATGCAATCTAAAATAAAATCTTCAGACGAACATCCTGAGTGCATATGCAATTTTTTACAGACAAAGAAAAGGCTATTGTTAGAAATAATGGTTACAAATTAGGTAGTTAGTTCCGTGCATTCATATACTAAGTATCTATAGTTAAAGCCATCGACTATGTTAAAGTTTCAAGTGAAAATTTGAAGCGCGTTGTTTAAGCGCATACTACGAAGCGGAATTCGATGCCTGGTAAAAAAAGTTTAAGTTATTGTTGACATAAAATTCCCGACCTCTGAGGTAGGAAGATAAAAAAAATGTTTGTTAATTTAATTTTAATACGTTTAACAATTAAAACGCGGAATTTATTAGTTATATTTGAAAACGACCCGACACTTGGTTTGCTTCGGAGCAGTCATGGTCACGGGGGGAATACATTTTGTGTATTTTGGCATCTTTTTCTCCCATGTCTCTCACCTGTCTTGTTAAGGTTATAAAAATACAAAAACTGTCGAATTCTCCTTCTGATAGAATGAAGAATTACCCCACTCATAAACATTGAACCTACATCATAAAGTGACAGGGAATTCCCCCCCCCCCCTAATGAATATTCAACTGCCTTCCAAAATAATTTAATATAGAAATATCATCGTATCAACTTCACCCTTTTCAATTGCGAATTTTTGTCATTATTTATTCTGAGTCGAGATAAAATTGTATGTATTGTGACGAGGTTGCCGCCTGGAAAATTCGCTTGAAAATTTGCCAGATGTACGATATAAAGTTGAAATACCTTTTACCAAGCTGTGAATGAAGCAATGTTTTTGAATATCCTACTTTGGTTACATATGTCGTTGGAATTCTAAACACGTAACCTTTCACAGTTTTTGAAACGCGGTTGTATTTGTTTTATTAAGATAAGTCTTATTTAAAGATAGTCTGAAATATTTCAAATTTTAATAAAATACCAATTTACTAGCCAGTAATATGTGAGACTTGGCGATAAAAGAAGTGACGACGAGTTTATTGCCAGTTCGTTCGTTCTACGCCCTTGATTTGAGAACTGGTAGTGAATTTTAAGTTAGATTCCTTACTTACTTATTAAATGAATAAATGATTTTGACTTTATACTATATTACAATCCAAATTTGGGATAGTAGTTCTGACTCTAATTTGTTTAAGTTGAAGTGATAGAAAAATCTTCAATTTAATAAGAATTTATCACCTGTCTAAACTTATTTCTATGTTTGTCCCTAAATGTACAGAAAACTCACCTTTCTACCCTGAGTGTGAGGTAAAGGAGCGATCAGCCGCAAGGGCGGCGGCGCAGGCGGCAAGGCGGCCAGCAAGGGCGGCACCAGGGGCATTACCCCGCCCATGGGCAGAGCGACTGCGAATTTTTGCATGCCCATGGTCCAGGGCACGAACCAGCCGCCCCCCGCCTGCATGGCCCCACCGCTGGGACCGTACCACGCCAGCTCGGCGGTTACCTCATCCACACTCACACGACACGGTACGCCAACATTTACGTTTTATCACAGTTATCACATGTACCTGGGGACAAGAGAGCAAATAGTTAGTCATTTGTATATATTATTTTTTTTTTTTTTTTTTTTTTAACTTTTTTTGTTACACACCCCCCAAAAAGTTTTTTAAAAAAAAAATTTTTTTTTTTTTGTTTTTTTAAAAAGGGGGGCCTTTTCCCCGGGGGGGGGTTTTTCCCGGGGGCGGGGGGGGGGGGGGAAAAAAAAAAAAAAAAAAAAAAAAAGGGGGGGGGGGGGGGGGGGGAAGGGGAAAAAAAAAAAAAAAAAAAAAAAAAAGGGGGAAAAAAAAAAAATGAAAAATTTAAAAAAAAAGGGGGGGGGGGGGGGGGTTTTTTTTTTTTGGGGGGGGGGGGGGGGGAAAGGGGGGTTTTTTGTGGGGGGGGGGTTTTTGAAAAAGGGGGGGGGGGGGGGGGGAAAAAAAAAAAAAAAAAAAAAAAAAGAAGAAAAAAAAAAATATTTTTTTAAAAAAAAAAAAAATTTTTTTTTTTACGGGGCGGGGGGGGGGGGGGGGGAAAGAAAAAAAAAAAAAAAAAAAAAAGGGACCCCCCCCCCCCCCCCCCCCCCCCCCCCCCCCCCCCCCCCCCCCCCCCCCCCCCCCCCCCCCCCCCCCCCCCCCCCCCCCCAAAAAAAAACCCCCCCCCCCCCCCCCCCCCCCCCCCCCCCCCCCCCCCCCCCCCCCCCCCCCCCCCAAAAAAAAGGGGCGCTATACCTAAGTAGTAGAATTGTTTACATTTTTTTTAAATATTAGCATAATGAGATATAACTTTTTATGTCTATGATCGGTTTGGTAAATTTGATTTATAAAAAGCTTTCGCGATCATTTACCAGTTTCGTAGGTTTTCGTCTGGTTCGAACAATTTCTCGATCACGTCGGCCGACATCTTTTTAGTATACTAAATGTTTACAATAAATATAGGAAATGCCATCATTTTATCAACTTTTGTATTCAAAATACAAGCTTTTGTAATAACGACGCAAAGTACAATCGCACGTTATAGATTATGTAGGTGCGATACATACAGTGAATAAATTAAATTTAACTTAAGCTGAATATAAATAATCTTAAGGTATAGCCAGTTAGTACATACAGTTAGATTCTACATGGCGACGCTTAAAAAAGTTTCACCAGTGAATACTTTTCTTAAAAGTAGCATCATGAACCTCCATAAATGCGTTATATTTAAGGTATGCCATTCTAGTATCATCCCAGTACATCTCCAATAGATGCAATCTAAAACAATTTAGCTTTATTTGCTGAAATTAATGAATTCTCGTTGACATTGAGTTCCGGCCTTCATTTGACCGCACCGCTCGTGTCCCACAGAATCTCTTTGATCTATAAAGTTAATGATCGCGGAGTTTACGAGCTCCGCGTCTCGTCTATTCATTTGGTGAAATGTATTGACGTTACGCCGGTCACCTTGTTACTACATCGTCGTAAAGCGTTGCTTCTCGATATAGGTCAATATTCATTACTTTGTCTTAATGCTTTTGATTCTTAGTCATAATAATGATCTTATTTCATTTTTACACAAGGGCTGCCTGGCAGAGATCGCTATAAAGAGATAAGGCCGTCCATTGCACTCTATAACTGGTAAGAATAATTTAACTTTAAAAGTTCTATTATTAAGAATATTTTTAAAGAAGCATGTGTATGTACTTTGTGTTGATGTCTGTTGCAATAAAGAATTAAATAAATGATCTGCGCAATTAACTTAGGCAAAAATTACTTTGTACTATTATTTTGGTAAAAATTTTCGGTTACTGTGCTCCTGTACATTAACATCTTTAGACTATGACAATATACATAACTCAAGTCATAAAATAGGAGTTAGGCTCAGATGGCTCTAGCGCTCTCATATCGTCTATTGTGTGATAGTTAAGCAAGAGGTCTTGGACAGTGGGATAACGGTAGGAACTGGACACAGAAGTTGAGAGTGGTTCGTGACTTTGAGAAAATTCTAATTTACCTTCTTCCAACATAACTTTTAGATTTTTCAGAGCTTGTTTTACAAAGAATATAACTTTTTTTATTTTATGAAATCATGTTTAACCCGGGTAAAATTGAACCCAGAAGTATTTTATTGTAACTATTATGGTCGGATCTTTGACTGTAGTTACTTATATACCTAGACAAAATTAAATACGTGTCTAATCGTATATACAATATGCATTGACAGTTCAGTAAAATAGCCCGACGCGACCTGGTTGAACGTTGACGGGTTTCGAAATAAACGAAATGCGAAAGAGAACTAGTGCGAAATCAAGTTATATATACAACATACAACAAAAGTAAATAACAGCTTCTATAAATACATAAGGCCAAGGGAAAAGGGAAGGTATCAACCTCATTCGCGTTTACATATTCAACAATATTTATGTTAATTATTTAGGTAAATACATCCAAATTCGGGTCAAGTGCCCTTAATGAGGTGTCATTAGACCCAACGCCTGTTATTAGTGGAAAATGACACGCTGAGTTCAATGCGGGTCTAAAATTGTCCCTTGCGAGACGCCGTATGATATTGTGTAGAAAAAATTAAGAAAGATTTTTTTCCAGTGTTGATTTGTATAACACTTATTAAATGGTTTAAAACGCGAAATATATTAATTGACTATTCTTCTATTATATATTTCTTGTATTTGATTTTTTTATTATACAACTACATTAGGCATTAAAATTAAATTGATGATTAAAATATAAAGTTTTTAGATACGGAAGTATAGTATTAGTAAATTTAAGAGTTTATTAAATTTGTGTTTTAAAATTAAATACGTAAATAAATACGTAAAGTTACGGGGCAGACTATTGCCTAACAGTATTAGATAAGACGGTGACCCAAAAAATTAACTAAGAAAAACTATTTTTAACAACTCCTTCAGAAGTTCTTCAGTAGCTAATCTCGTCTTTAATGGACCAGTGCCTTTCTAATTTCAGCCAATGGTCACGGCCTGTCAAGATTATAAATTGCCGAGTAGCTGTCTCAATTTCTACTACGCCGTGTTGCCAGTCCATTGCAACATTTAGTACAATTGAATTCAAAAATTAACTTATAAATGATATCTTTACACAGAAACGAAATGTTAAATTGCAGGAAACTATACAAATTTAAATAAAACACTTTTACTCGTGAAGCGCCAAATATATTAGTTAATTTGTTTTAACTATGGCCCGACGTTGTGATAAGTCAAATCTGTCGAAATAGATGGCGCTAGCGTTACAGATTTGACTTAGACATGACGGACACCCTCCATCTTCATTCCCCCGTGACCACGACTGCTGCAAAACATCCGTAACGTCGGGGACTACTAACTGTTTTATTTATATAAGAAACTCCATATCCACAGTGCCATTAAGAGAATCTTTAAAAAAAATATTGAAAGAAATAATTGTTTTGTCGCAGAATAGGTGTCTTTGTTAGTTAAAATAAAAATATAGCTTTGATCACCTGATCATCGGGTTATGTTCAACAGGTAATGCGATAACTACTTTTATCACAGGTTTGTGTAAAGACTTGACACGATATAAAATCCAACACAATAAACCTAACGATCGTTTGTTCTGTAGAATCACACTGATAACCGAAATGTACATATAAATACGGTTAGTACAATTCATGATGAACACTTGACATAATCAAAAAAATCGTCTCCGACGAGCGATCCATCACGCACTGCGTCCTCAAACGGAGATATCATTGTGCACGTTATCTGGGTTCATGGCGACCTCACTTTTAGAATAAGGCTTTTGTGTATGAGCGTCATTGTGTTCGGGACCGTCTTGAGATTATTTGGGGAATTTTTCTGATGGCCGTCGAGATTTCGACTCGCTAGAGGGATGAATGCGTAATTACAAATATCTGGTATTCGGCTTTTACAATAATAAAATAACATACTGTCTGTAGTTTAAGCCAAGTAGTACACATTTACATAAAACGGTTTAAAACGTGCAAAAAGTTTTGCAGCGGCTAAAAACTTGAGCCGTAGTTAAAAAAAAGTTCTGTAAATAAGTCAGCCAAATTCAACTCATATATGCGCATGTAAGCTTCTGTGGCAGAAGAAAAAAAGTCTGTTGTTTTTATTTCTGGTACTTACTAAACTATAATTCATTCTTTTCTACAATTTTTTAAAGTCCGCCTCTGTAGCTAAATTATTAACGCCTTGCCTAGCATTGCCTTAAGTGTTTGTTTAACGGGATTCCACTATTTTTACCTTTGTAACTAAGACTAATAAAATGGAAAATTTACTTAATTTCAATTCTGATAAAATTAAAATAGCAGATGATTATATTATGTAAAGCGTTATATTTCACTAACGACAAAAGAGTCACAAATCAAATCTCTATAACAGAATTCTTTGCAAGCCACACAACACCAAAGCATTCAATAAACAATATTTATTATTATTTATGCAAAAATAACTGCTTAGAACTCTCGCTAACTGCATCGAGTGATGTTATTAAAATCTGCGCATTGACACACGCTTATTTATAATGGCCGAGTCGGGAATAAAATTATCTAGAGAAGAAATAAATGCATCGGAGTAATCAATTACACTCGATCGATAATAAAATGCAGTGTGAATGAACCCCACACGCATCCGCGCAGTGTGAGTGGACCCTATCATATTTCAATTAAGGACTACATGTATATCTTAGTATTAATAACTGAGGAAATAATTATTATATTATTATATACGCTATTAAAATAAGGTTTTCGTCGTTGATGAAGTAAACACCAATAATTTTCCTAAATCTAATTTTAACGGTTTAAAATGTAACCGAATACACATTAAGTTGTAGTTAAAAATAAACCGTTTAAATTTTTGAAAACATTAATATTTTTCACATGTTATATGCACATGAAGGCACTATATAATTTAAAAATCGAAAATAAATTGAAAAA